TTGTAAATGTATTGTTGCAGGCACTCTATATGTACATGTACTATATACTACATATAGAATGCACTGAACAATAGATTTACAATTATCCTCTGCTAATATGAATGGGTTAAATGATCCGTAGTACATGATATGTAGCCCTGTACCCCCTTTTCCACTTACAGAGCTAGGTTATTTTTCTTTTAAATAAATATTAATGTATTTTAATGGTATCTATCTACCAGTAGCTGCCTCATTTCCCACCCTCGGCTTATATTCGGGTCAATACTTTTTCCCAGTTTTTTTGGCTAAAATTAGGTACCTCGGCTTATATTCGGGACGGCTTATACTCGAGTATATACGATATATATATATATATATAGAGAGAGAGAGAGAGAGAGAGAGAGAGAGAGATATATATATATATACACAGTATAATGTTCTAGCAATACACCGTGTTATGTGGGGGTGTGGTTACATAGTCAGCAGGACTGTACAAATCCAGGAAGTAGAGTTCTGTTACCCACCAAGGCTGCACTCACATGGGGTATCTGTATTCTGGGGCTCCTGGGGCAAGAACCCTCCAATGTCGGCAGCAGGATCCTCATGTGTGTCCATACAGATGTGGCCCATGTACCCATTCATTGACATCTGTCATCAGCAGTCCGCATGTAATCGTACCATCCTGGACGCAGGATAGATGCCAACCATGCATTCTCCTATGTTTCATTACTTGCCGTGCTCCTGTCAGCCTGCTCTATAGTTTTCTTTATACCCTATTAGATTGTAAGCTCTTCTACCTTCTGTATCCTCCCTCATATCCCAATAGATTGTAAGCTCTTCCACCTTCTGTATCCTCCCTTATATCCTATTAGATTGTAAGCTCTTCTACCTTCTGTATCCTCCCTCATATCCCAATAGATTGTAAAATCTTCCACCTTCTGTATCCTCCCTTATATCCCAATAGATTGTAAGCTCTTCCACCTTGTATATCCTCCCTTATACCCCAATAGATTGTAAGATCTTCCACCTTCTGTATCCTCCCTTATATCCCCAATAGATTGTAAGCTCTTCCACCTTGTATATCCTCCCTTATATCCTAATAGATTGTAAGCTCTTCCACCTTCTGTATCCTCCCTCATATCCCAATAGATTGTAAGCTCTTCCACCTTCTGTATCCTCCACTTTACCTTATTGGATTGTAAGCTCTTGTAATTAGTCAAGGACTATTGGTGACACAAGAACACCCAGAATGCAATAGGTGGATATGTGTGATTTTGCAGGGCTTGAAAAATCCACTCATCCGCTCGTCTGTGACGAGAGAGGACGGCTGAGCCCGACGAGCAGCTTCCCGGCCGGCCGTTGTAATTACACGGCCGGCCGGGAGCTTTACATTCAAGTGATCGAGAAGTACACGAATTCCCTTTGATCTCCTCTCAGTCCCCGAATGTAGATTACATCACTTCCTGTATTCAGTGTCACTCTCCAGCTAGAGAAGCTGATGAAGCAGATCTCTGCTTCATCAGCTTCTCTGGGGGTCCCTAGGTGACATTAGGGGTCTTGAGGACCCCTGATGTCTCCATTAAGAGGACCTGTCATGTAAATTGGCTATCCCATAGGGGCTTCTTGGCCCCCCATGTAATAGCAAGAAAGTTGTGTGTAAAAAAAATTGTAATACAAAAATTAAAGAATCATTTAAAAAAATAAAGCATAAAAAAAATTAAAAAAGAAAACTTCTTTTTTTTAAAAGTCCCCGCACCCCACATACACAAGCAGATATGCGTTGGGTGCGCCTACATGCAAAAATGACAATTGCGTCTATTGTGCCGCACATGTCACATATCGCCGCAAACGTCAGAGTGAGAGCAATAATTTTAGAGCCATTAATCACTGATAACACTAAACTGATGAGCAGTAAAAGCGTTTTAATCGTCGCCTATGGGCGTTTTTTGCGGGCGCACGCAATTTTAAGGCTTGACATGTTTGGTGTCTATTTACCTGACGTGACCCCGAATTTTACGTTTTACTAAAAATATGGGTAATAATAAATGTTTTTTAAAATAACTTAGGGAAAACCTTCTTTTTTTAATTACATTTACGGTACTTTTTTCATTATATAGTAAAAAAAATAACTCCCTTCCCCCCCGTGGTGATTATATACCTCCAAAAGAAAGCTCTATCTGTCCCCAAACAATGTTAACATAAATTGCAAGGCTATAGTCCGGTCATGGTGACATTTTTGACTGACTGGTGAGACACCATCAAATTTTTCAAGCCCTGGTGATTATAGTTTTTTTATTGTTTGAAAACATGTAAAAGGAAAAAATATCTTGTTAGTCAACTCAGCTGAAGAATGAACTCTCATGTACACACATGACAAAAAAGATTTTTGGGGGGCTTGTGACCCGCTGATGTGCTTTTCACTTGCTGACTTGGACTAGCCGTACATGTTTAGATTTCTCTTGTTTTAGCCCCACAGGGCTGAGCAAGAGAACCCAAGTGATCCTCCCATTCATGAGAGACAGCATGGATGGAGGAATCTTCCCTGCTGGCTATTGTATTCAGATAGCCGCCATCTTTGACACATCTGATTGGATGCAGTCAGTTTTCGGCCTTCAGATTCTGAGAGATGCTTCCTGGGACAGTCAGCTCTCCTGTTTGCAGGTAATCATACCATGTACAATGACATTGGGACAGTCACGGACACCCTGTGCTGCTGTCACCCTGTCATTAACTTGAATGGGCACAGTGGCCGCATCTGTGCAGACACACCTGGGACCCCTGCTGTAAAAATCCGCACGTTCTTGCCTCAGGAATATCCAGACACCCGTGTACATGAGGCCCAAATTATCTATGCACTGCCCGGGAAGGCTGAGTTATAGCCCCTAGAGGGCACTCCTAGCATATGCTTAGAACTTATAGAAACCATTTGCTGTAGCAAAACTGTGGTCAGGATAATAATCCCCAGTAAATGTGCATCGCACCAGACATTTAGTGATACACAACATGTTGATGTCATGCGGCAAACAGGAGCTGGATCATTTACAAATGGGTTTAAAGTACGCCTGTGAAGAGTAATATGTGTGTTACTACTGTTGGTTCCCTGGTTTTCATAGTAGCGAGGCATTGACTGGGGACAATCAAGCAACAGTTAAAAGTTCTTAACCTAGTTAAGTCCCTAAAGTCCTTTACATACTTGTTCCAGGCAAGTGCGGATGCTAATCATCAATAATCAATGTGACAGGCAGGGAACTAGTATTTTCAGGCACAATATTTGCCAATGAAACCTTTGGTGGAGTTCCTCAGAGGTAGGGAGATGAAGGTAAGGTACTGCTGTGACCTACTGAAGCTTTTGAACCTATTTGAGCTATTGAACTCTGTAAACAGTAAGTATTGGAATGCATTTTCTTTAATGTTTTTTCTTTATTTTTATTTAGGGCTTCTAAACGATTTAGTGAACTAGTACAGAAAGAAAACAGAAGCAACATAAATTCAGTGCGGGTGCCGAAAGAAAAGTTTCTGATGATGCCTGAATTACAGGTATTTGTGTATTTTTGACACACATGGTCTGATCTGACCACAATTTCCTGACATTTCTTCTTATATTTGCCATTCCTAGTTTGAAATAATGCACTAGAAATATGCTGAAAGAAGAACTCTGGTATGGCACTCCTCCTGACATTGTAGGAGAAATTCCCCAACATGTGACTTTGACAGATCATGTGACCAGACTCTTTATTGAAATGAATGGGGCTTCACTTGCTTCAGGGTACTACAGCAAGCTAAGCACTTAACACATTTTGAAAGCACATCGCTGTGCTTTATAAATGTGCTTAACACGAACAAAGCTCAGTTGTTTGTAAGTTCAGGCCAAATTGTTCCTTTGTGTAACGAATGTCTTGAATTCTGTTGGACAGAACAAATTCATATCAAGTGATGCTTTTCGATCTTTGCAGGCAAACCCCTTTAAGCATCGCATATGCCATGTCTTCTCTACTTCAAAACACGGTGATGACAGCATGTCATTTGAAGACTTTCTCGACCTGCTAAGTGCCTTCAGTGAATCTGCTACCCTTGAAATCAAATCTCATTATGCCTTCCGGATATTTGGTAAGCATATAAATGACTGTGAGGCTAAATCATTGTAAAACCTCTTTAAACACATATAGGCTACTCAGCTTATACCCCCAGCCATTGTCCTGCTGTCTCATTATTCGAAAATCCACTTGGGATCAGAATTATTAAAGGAGAACTATGGGGTCAGGGCTTTTCGCCATAGTTCGCCTAAGGGTAACGGGAGGACACAAACTAACGTCCTCCCGTCACCCTAAGCTTAGTATGCCGCGAGCTACACCTCGTGGTATACTGAGACGCCGCAGCCGGGATGGATTCCGACATTACTGTTGAGATCCACCCAGCTGCGTGATTGACAGCTGGTTCTGCCTATCTAGAGGCAGAGCCAGCCGTGCCCTCCCCCTCCCCCGTCCGTTCCTCCAGTAAGCGATGGAGGATCGGACAGGGGAGTAGGGGAATCCCTGCAGGGAGTCGTGACTGACAGTCACAGTCACGGCTCTCTGCAGGGATGGATCGAGAAGTGAGCGAGCGCCGCTATGTGTTCGCTCACTTCCCGATCTACTGAGCCGACCTGTGACAGTTTCATTGTCACAGGTCGGCTAGAACTATGAGGCTGATAATTCTCCTTTTTAACTGTGGTCTTCAAACAGAAGGGCAGATTTTGGGATTTCTTTGTAGGATAAAATATTTGACTCGGGGAACTATTAATACACTTATCTTGGTCACCATTGTGATTTTAGTTTTGTTGACCTTCTTGCACCCAAGTAAGCCTTGCATGGTGATGACGTGTCTCCAGCAAGTCAGGAGAGTATTGATTTAACCTCCTGAGCCCCGGAACACACATTGGTCATGTTTTATTGTGTTTGGATGTTGAAGAGAATAGTCTAACATAAGCTACCTATGAACTTTGGTTGAGGTTTTTCTGCTAAAACTGGTGGGTAGGCGATCATCTGGATGCCTTCGTGTTACCTTCAGCAGACCTTTCTTGGGGGGGATGTGGAGGGATTGAACTATTCTCAGGATGCTGCTTCTCTGCTGCTCACTCTAATGTAAACTAGCTATGAACACTCAGTGAAGTTTTCCTTCTGGTGGACAGACAATGATCAGGATACCTCTTTGTTACCATAGACCTCAAAACTATAGACGCATCGATCTGTTCTCTTAATAGCTTTTATTTTCATTGAACAGTGGCACCAACATGGTTACAGATTGCAATAAAACAACAAACTCCAAACTGGTGATCGCTGTCACCAGGTACCAATGAAACGTCTAGACTACAACAATGTGGCAGTATACTTTAAATTCAGAGCACTCCCGGTCGGTAACACACAAAAGTCACAAAAATGACAGATCACAAAAAATATTCCCCTAGCCCTCAAGAGTATATGTGGGGGAAAGGAAGGGCATATTCTATGTTCTACTGTATATACAGTATGTGGTCATTTGTATATTTTTGAGTCATTTAAGTACAGCCACTGACTAACTTTTATATGCAGATTTTGATGGTGATGGTGCTTTGAATGAAACTGATTTGGAAACATTGGTAAACCATTTAACAGGAGTAGAAGGAGACATCAAGCTAAGTAATGAAGAGATGAAGCAGCTTATAGAAAATGTGAGTTCAGATGGGGAAGACTATTTATCTTTGTTTTTTGGTAAAGATTGTAAAAAAAAAAAGATCCTTTTAATGTATGTTACTGTTTCTATGTATAATGTATGTTTTGTCTCTATGAATAGTTTGTAAATATATATGGGAAAGGCAATATTTGCTCATCACATATTCAGGCTCTACTTCCTGCCTTCCCTTGATGTATAATATTTGTGCTTTACTATGTTTTACGGCTCCTTTCCAAAGTACAAATCTGAGTCTACTTTATACAAAGCACTTCCTGTATGTCTGATATCTTATCAGATGTTATTCGAGTCATTGCACTCCAGGCAAATGGCTTAATACACTTTTAAAATGAATACATGCTGTTTTACCTATGAATAGGTTCTGGCCAGCCTGCCTTTGCAGTATTTCAAGAAGTGGGTTAATGGCACTGGAACCCTAAAGTTTAATTAAATAATGATGTATTGTTGTTGTCATGCAATGATATGATGATGGTCTGGTTTGTGAGAATATGAATATTGGGCTGGCAGTTTCTGCGCAGCAGAGGATTGCTATGATCACCATAGGTTGTGATGAGGATGGGTAAATCAAGAACTGAAGAAGCACACTATAATATTCAAGCCCATATTTATTTATTTTTTATGATAAATTGGTAACAAAATCAACACATTTTGGGGCTATACTCCATACATCAAAGCTCAAATGGAACATAAAAGATTTAAAAAAAATATATAATTAACTTTTAAAGCCATACAAAGTTCCTGAAAGGCATCCTGAAAATTAAAAATGAGGAAAACGTGATCAGAAGAAGAATACTGGATTGATAAGAATACTGGATTGATAAGAATACTGGATTGATAAGAATACTGGATTGATAAGAATACTGGATTGATAAGAATACTGGAATGATAAGAATACTGGATTGATGATAATTATGATGCTGTTATTAATATTAATCCAGTGTGTTATTATTATCATTCATTCAGTGGGTTTAAAAGAAAAGTAAGACTCAACCTTTTTTGTGGCTTTACATCTTTTTAAGGGCACAGAAGTTTATTTACTAATGTACTCTTTTGACCCAAATCAGCAGATAGTGGGTTACTGCTAGGATCCCAAAAATGCTGCCTCATTGACAGCTGGCTCCGCCTCTCCAGAGCCAGCTGTGCCCGCCCTCTCCCCTGTCTGTCACTCCAGTGAGTGCTGGAGAAACGGAGATAGGAGGGGGGAATCCCTGTGGGGATTGGTGACTGACTTCTCTCTGCACGGAGGAGACCATGAGCTAAGCCAGCGCTCGGCTCTTGGTATAGAGCCAGTGTGTGACAGCTGCACAGCTGTGTCCCATGCCAGCTCTAAGTATTGGGAAGAGTATATTTTACTCTCCCATGACTTCTCTTTTGTTTTTCAGGTTACATTTCAGCCCCGATGAAGGGGGCAGAGTACATCACCATTTGTGTTTGGAATAAACTTATATCTGGACTTGAATATTACAGTCTGGCTATGCAGTATGGCAGAGGTTTATGAATCACAAGAATGGCCAAGTGAAATTGCAAATCCTTTTGTAGGTAAAGAGTTCTTGCGAATATATATTCCAAAGCTATTGAAGCTGTGTGCCTGCAGTGCCACACGGTCAAGAAATTTACTGCACAATAGCTTTGCCGTTAGTGCTGTGGAACTGCAGTTTTGAGGTATTGCGTTACCTATCTGCGTAAAGTAATATATTTCCATCCCTTTGCTTCCACCTGGTGCCCCTTTACACCTGACTGCAGTATCAGTCTAGCAGGTTATTTGTAAAGTTTTGCTTTATTCTTTTCCAGATCCTTGATGAGTCGGACATAGACAAGGATGGCACAATCAACCATTCTGAATTCCAGCATGTCATCTCCAGATCTCCAGACTTTGCCACGTGTGTATTTCATATTGAATGTTGATGAGAATAATAGCATTTGTCATTTCAAATGGCGACCTTTACATCTGCAGGATAGTAAAATTGTCATTATCCCAGTTCTAATCATGAATTTATAGATGTCAGCCTGGGCTGTGGACTGTTTTTTTCTTCCTATATTCATAAAATAGTGGAAAACTTTTAAAACCTGAATCTTACATAAAGTCGTTTCATATTGTGATAATATTTAAATGAACCTTCCTGTTCAGTATTAAGTCTGCAGACAGGATTTCCCAAAATGCCTTTACTCCTATAATTGTCAGCATTGAAATGTGTTGTGGTTATAGTGCAGTCAGGCTTTACCACTGCAGTGATTTAGGGCTCATCCACACGGGCATATTAAAATACACCCATCTACACTTACCAGGAAACTTTAAACTTTTTGGAGGGTGTTTTTAAAATTATTTTTTTGAACTTTATTTTTTGTAAACACTTCGAGGGTTATTCACAAAACTACCGAAGGCATCAGAGTGAATAACCTACCCGAAGTGAGCCGAACACTGTTCGGCTATTACTTCAGGCTTGAACGGCCGATTTCAGCCGTACATCGGCTTGCTTCGGTTGGCTTCGTTTCAGCCGAACATGCTCAGCATATTTGGCTGAGCCAAACCTCCAGCAGGCTACTCGCTGCCGTTTAGCCTATTCTCATAGGGGCCGAACGGCAGTGAGTGAATAGCGCCATTCTGCTCGGCTATTCTGCACAGTACAGTGGTACCAAGCAGAATAGAAAAACAGTTAAAAAAAAGTTGGGGGAAAAAAAAAGGTTTACAAATGTAAATAAATGATAAATGTTAAATAAAGATTTCCCCCAAAAAAAGAAAAACATTAAGGATTATTGAAAAAAAATAAAGAATATTGAGGGGGAAAAAATAAACAATTGGGCGGAGCTAGCAGTGACAGCTAGCTCCGCCCAACTGTTTCCTATTGGCCGGTACCGGCACCAGCTGTCAGCCGTTCGGCCTGCTTCGGGTTCCGGCGGCTGAAGGATCAGCCGGATCTGCTGCTGATCTTTCGGCTAGCTTTGTGAATAACCCTCTCCCCCCCCCACTTAATTGCTATCAATTGTTGGACCTGTAATCATTGTTGGTTACAGGTTACAGGTTCTCTTTAAGGTGACATTAGTTTTTTTTTTGACTCCTAATGTCACCTTTGCACTTTAACCAGTTGACATCCGCAGTGTTAAACCCCCTTCCCATCCAGGCCATTGTTCAGTATTCAGCGCTGTGGTACTTTGACTGACATTTATTCCGTCATGCAGCGCTGTACTGAAATGAATTTTATACCCTTTTTTGGGGACAGATAGAGCTTTCTTTTGGTGGTATTTATTCACCACTGGGGTTTTTATTTTTTTACTATATTAAGGAAAAATCACCGAAATTTAAAAAAAAAAGTCAGTTTCCCCTATATTAAATGATAAAACATTTATTATTACCCAATTTTTTGGTAAAATATAAAAGATGGGGTCACGTCGGGTAAAAAGACACTAAACATGTCAAGCCTTAAAATTGCGTGCGCGCGCGAAACCTCAAAAAACGATAATACCCAAAATTGGCCATAGGCGACGCTTTAAAAGCTGTTACCGCTCATCAGTTTAGTGTTATCAGTGATTGATGGCCCTAAAATGATTGCTCTCACTGCGACGTTCGCGGCGATATGTAACATGTGTAGCGCAATTGTAATTTTTGCGCGCTGGGGCACCGGACGCGTATTTACGTTTATAGGCGCGTAAACGTGGGGGTGGGGGAGTTAAACATTTTGGGGGGTTTTTTTCCCCTTTTTTTATATGTGACTTTTATTTTATTTTACTTTTTTATATGTTACTTTTATTTTTTTTTATTTATATTTATTTTTTTGCACTTATTGTTATTGCTATTATATAGGGGGATAACAATCCCCCTATATAATAGCAAAGGCACACTGACAGGTCCTCTTTATGGAGACATTAGGGGTCTCTAGGACCCCTAATGTCGCCTGTGGACCCCAAAAGAAGCTGATGAAGCAGAGATCTGCTTCATCAGCTTCTTCTCTCTGGCTATAGCAGCCAGATGACTGACAGGTGAATGCGGAAGTGATGTAATACACATCACTTCTGCATTCACAGCCCGGACGGAGATCAGCAAGGAGCTGATCTCCCGTCCTCCTCCTCCTGACTCCCTCCGAGCCGATCCCGGGCTGCAGACGGGGCAGCGGATCCCGGGATTCAAGGTGAGGGGTCAGGGTGAGCGGACGCGAACGAGCACACATAGACGATCGGCGGGCTATGGAGCCGCTAATCGCCTATATGTGAAACACCCGGTAACTGGTGTGTGCAATGGTCGGGTCTTTTCTGCCCGTGCGTGCCCGCTAGGGGGGCGCGCGCGAGCAGAAAAAAATTGCCGTCTGGAGATGGCAACCCGCAAATGCTGCAGTGCCGTCCGTCCGTTTTTTTACTACGGGCGGACGGCAAGTGGTTAAAGGAGCTGAGGAAGCATAGATAGCATAGATAGATCATCTTCTTCTTCTCCAGCTTCTCTAGCTGGGGAATGATAGCTGAGAAGCCAGAAGTGATGCAATCAGCGTCTTTTCCAGCTTCATTCAGCAGGGAGGTGATCAGCAAATATACATTCGCTGGTCTCTCTCCCTGCTACCCGTCGACACCTGCAATGCCGATCATGGGCCCGCAGGAGCGGCAGCGGAGCTTGGGAGACACGACTATAGCTGCCGGGAGTCTGCTTACAGGGGCCTGCAGCACATATAAAGCACATTTTCTGTTTTTTCTCTTTAGTTCCTTCAAGATCGTGCTGTGATTGCTTCTTGCCGTTTCTGCGATGACCTTCAGTACCATCACTGGAATAAATCTGTCAACTGTGAATAACTCTAGCCGGACCTATGCAATTGCTAATTAAATTCTGCTATGGTCATCCTTTCTAATGTACTTGGATTTCTACTGAACTACTGATTTTGTGTTTGCAATTTGTTGAAATCATATTGAGTTTACAGCTTTTAAATTGCTTAAAATGCAACTCCAGCCACCTTTTATTTTTTTAGTTTTGCATAGCGGGGAAGGCTGAAAATCTCTGATTACTTGCTGTCCTGATGACTACAGGACTAGAGAGGAAATCTTCCCAATGGAGCCACAGACATTGAAGAGACCCTGTTGCCTGACCATTAATTTAAACAATGTTTCCATAAGATTATATGGGCATTATTGGATTTTATGCATGCCATTAAGTGAAAAAGTCTCTCTTGTGTAGACATCTAGAAATCCTGAGACTTCTGCTGGGTGCCCCCATCTTAGATGTGATGTCAGCAGACTCAAGTGACAGTCTATAGTCTTCCTTTCGCTCCTCCTCTGAAGGGTTCTGTGAGCATGAGAGGGGAGGGGTGGAGCAGCTGGACCAGCACTGAGATAATGAGACATTCCCAGAAGAGGAGAGGGTTATGACGTGTAAGGAGGGAGAGGAGTGCGCAAGGGAAGTGACTCTCCCTGAACTAGTCAAATTTGCTTGCAGAGTCAGAGGCATATTGCAGGTGATAAAACATTGTTTATGGAAAAGTGAAATGCTACATGTAAGCATTTAAAATATTTTATTTGTCTGTGCTTTTGCTGCATTTTTTAAAGTTGGTCTCAGGGAATTTCTCACATAATTTCTGTTTTGATAACTGGTGTCACCTAGACAGGAAAAGAAGGAAAATCCTCCATTACAGGGTTACAGTCCCTTTCCTATCCGAAACTTCCAACATTCTCTGGAGTTGGGCTCCAATGATGCATTTTTTTTATATCTCCTGAAAGTGTGATTTTCTTTTTCCTCTGACTTTGTTGTCTTTTTAAAAGAAGTTACTTTGCTGTTGATGAGTTGGAATGGTTTCCATGAAGTGTATACACAAATTCCAACATCTTCAAATCTTCAGAAACCAATTTCTAGCTCTCTGCAGCTGAGCAGCTTCACATGAACTGTTAAAGTTTCTCATTAAATAAATGTTATCATATTGTAAACTGTTTAATTTACTAATGTAATCAAAGCACAATTTTATAAATAAAGGTGTGACTACTTTTGTCCTTGTGTTGGTTACTGTGCCATGTAAATGTTTATTACTGTGATTAAAACACTGTTCTCAGCAGCCCCCACAACACAGCCCCCATATACTGCCAAAGGTAATTTTGAAATGGACAAATTGAACATTTTAGGGATGCACCGATACCAAGTTCCGTACTCGGTAAAAGTACATGTAGAGATACTTTTCCAGCTCCAAGACTAGACTAGAGAAAAATTCTAAAGTTAGGAGGCAGCTGTCATTTGTAAGGAGCACACGGGGCTCCTGGAATTTGTACATCTCTGTTTTAATGTACGAGCGCATGAAAATGCCAAGTATCGTCACTGGTATCGGTGCATCCCTATTATTATTCAGGGTTTATATAGTGCCAACAGTTTACCAACTGGGGGAGACAATACAGTCACCAATGCAATTTTAGTACAGGAAGGTAAGAGGGCCCTGCCCGTGATAGCTTACAATCTTGTAGGAGGCGCAAGTGATACAGAAGGTAAAAGTGGGATGATTTATTAGAAGTGAAAGGATGGTTATATCGAGGTGGAATAGGTTTCCCTGAAGAGATGAGAAGGTGGACAGAGCAGGAGATAAGTGGACAGATTGTGGTTGGGAGTTCCAGAGGATAAGATACAATCTTGAGAAATCCTGGAGGCGAGCATGGGAGGAGGTGACGAGCTGGAGAGCAGGAAGTCTTCGGAGGAGTGAAGAGGGTGGTTTGGGTTATATTTTGAGATGAGGTTGGTGAAGTAGATTGGGGCAGAGTTATAGATGGCTTTGTATGTCTTCATTAGTATTTCTAATTTTATACATTGGGGAAGTGGGAGCCAGTGGAGTGATTGGCTAAGGGAACTCTGATTGCATGGTAAGGTGGATGTCTGGCAGCGGCGTTCATGATAGACTTAAGGGGGGATAGCCTGTTTAGTGGTAAGCCAACAAGCTGCAATTGAAATACAAGATTGATAAAGAGGGCTGGTTCTACTGTCCTGAGCTGTCAGTTTGATCCCTAGTACCATTCCCTCTGTTGAGATGTCAGAGATTTCCAATACCTTTTGTGGTTACAACGTTTGCCCAGCAGAGGGAGATGCACACCATCAGACTCTGGGTGCCTAAAGTGCAGGCCCTGCATCCTATGCTGCTCAAGTACTTCAAAAGGGGGGAGCGGGTGCTCTTTGGCCTTTTTCCCCTGGGGGTACTAAAGGACCTTATCCCGGCATCGTCTGTCCTCTCATGTTTATTCTGATTAGGATTAGCTAGGAGATAACAGTAAACACTTTGGCAGTAACTGTGATCTAAATATTTATGAAGGGAAGATGTACACAAGAGGAAGAATCTTTCCTGCGTTCATTTAAACAGTCTGATTGTGAAACATGTTTGTGGATTTTTATGATACCCGAAAAGGTCAGCGATAACTCTTGTCTGTGCCGGCCAATACATTTCACTTTCCACACAATAAAACAAATTCCATTTGTGCATGATCCATAGTGTATTGTACTATGGAGAAGTGGTTTATTAACAGTGGCGGTTCAGTACATGGTATAGGTTTATGATTGTATCAGAGACATTGATGTCTTTGGCAGGTACATGTGAAAGGAAACCAAGGGGTCTATTCACTAAGCTGCAGTAGGCAGCCGAATGAAAGACAGACCTGAAGTGAAGTGAGCCGAACGCTGTTCGGCTATTCACTTCAGGCTGGTACGGCTGATTTCAGCCGTATATCGGCTGAAATCAGCCGTACATCGGGTTGGCCGAAGTGCAGAAGGAGTTCGACTCTGGATCAGCTAAGCCGAACCTCCGGCAGGCTACTCGCTGCTGTTCGGTCTATTCTTATAGATGCCGAACAGCAGTGAGTGAATAGCCGAATGCCGCTGAGCGGCATTCGGCTCGGTCCCTCAGAGGGACCGAGCAGAACAGAAAAAAAGTACAAAAAAATAAATAGAAAACGAGTGTGCGGAGCTAGCAATGACAGCTAGCTCCGCCCAACAGTTTTCTATTGGCCGGCCGTTCTGCCGTCAAGACAAAAAACTCTCCCGGGCACTCTGGGAGTCTCCCGCTCCCGGCCGCCCAGGAGAGAAACACTGCTTTTTCTTTTTTTTACTTTATTCTGACACGGAGCCGTGTCAGAATAGAAAAATAAATACATTTTTGCCCATAGGAATGCATTGCTAGATTCCTATTGGCTATTTCAATTTGCAATAGCCAATAGTAAACTAGCATTGCACCCGCCCTCTGCTGCAGTTCTCCATCAGCAGAGGGCATGTCCGTGTCAGAATAAAGAAAAAAAAAGAAAAAGCAGTGTTTCTCTCCTGGGCGTCCGGGAGCGGGAGACTCCCGGAGCGCCCGGGAGAGTTTGCTGTCTGGAGATCAGTGTCCCTGGTTAGCTGGTAACCAGGGACGCTGATCTCTCTGCAAGTGACCGGAGCCAGCCGTAAGATCACGGCTGGCTCCGCCCAGCTGTCAGAAGCAGGCTGTCGGCCAGCCACTCGGCCAGCTTCAGCTTTCAGCACGGCTCAGCCGAGCCGAGGCATATGCCTCGGCTCCTTCCTGACAGCAGCATCTCTGGCTCCTTCCTGACAGCATGGTGCCCGCCTCCGCACCCCTGGAGAGACCCTCGCACAGCACTTCTGAAAGCAAGATTAGCGCACCTGGGAGTCTGCACAGCCCACCTAAGCGTCTGCACAGCCACCCCAGAACAACACAGAGTATGTAGTTTCATATTATTATGTATTGCTGGGATTTGTAGTCCTCTATAACCAGTCTCCTTACTCCCTCCCCTGGGTGTCTCTTCTTGCTCTTTCTCCTGACTGCCTCTCCTCACTCTCTCTATAGTGTAAAAAAAAAAAAAAATTGCCGCACGCAACCCTAGAGTGTTCAGGTTTCCTTTGAAGAAAAGGTGGCAACCCTATGATGGACTACAATCTCACATTTAATTTACTAATACATATTGAGATTGTAGTCCATCACGGGAGTGTGTTTGGAGATTGTGGTCACCTAAAGGAGATCCCACATGGCAAATGTCAAAGACTGAAGCTAAGAAAAGGCTCTCCTTGACATACAGATCCTAGCTTAACACTTGACTTACCAGAATCTCCACACAATTTCTCTACTTCCTAATGTTTACTTTACCTTTGCAACTTTTCTACATAAATTTCCAGAGTTCAAGCAGCAGAGGTTGGTTTTTCCATACCGGCATTCATCCCTCCCAAACTGTAACTAAAGGGTCCTTCAAAACAGGCTGGCAGCTGAGTGCATGGTTGACATATGCAAGCTAAACTGTTTTAACAGTCATAGAATTTGTTCATCTTTGCGGTCAGTCTTTTGATGCCAAACAACACAGCTTAGTCATATCCAGTTTTTGTGTGGAGAGGTGAGGAGTTCGAGCCTCCGTCATCTTATTTTTGCTGCCTGTGTACACATTTGGGAGGTTTGCCTTGTATATTTACCTGGTGTCAGAACAAGAAGTGATAGAAAATCTCCACACTCCCTATTCTGGAAGGTGTCAGAACAGGAAGGGAGAGAAATATCCACAAAACCGGGACGGAGACAGCAGTAAAAACACATTTACTAATAGAGTAAGGAAGTTTTAGGCCCCCCGTAACTTCCTGTCTAAAAGGTGCCCATACACTGTACGATTATCGTGGGAAATCCCGCGATCGTACGATAATGGCAAAGTGTATGGAAGGCGTGCGACCGTTTCTACTGTACGATCGCACGTCTTCCGTCGAACAAGCAGGCTGGAAAACCCGCCAAGAATTGTACGATTCTTGGCGGGTTAGTGGCCTGCTTGTTTGACAATTGCGATGATCGCAAGTACGATCTGCCTGTCCATGATAGGCAGATCGTACAGTTTTTTAATTACTTTACAACCCTCGCAAGACAAAAGTCTTGCGAGGTTTGTAAAGTGTATGGCCAGCTTAAAAGGTCCCC